AAGGGCAACAGTTCCTTCAATTTAGTAATGGTTGTCCTTTTACAGAATCATATTAGGTCAACTTGAGTATTTACAGAATAGTATTTTGTTTTGGTTTTTTTGGGGCGAACAGTGTTTTTTTTTTAAAGAGTATTTAAATAAATAAATAGTAAAAGTAGTATTTAGGTGTATGAGCATCTGGTAAGGGCTCAGTTTATATAAATTTTAAACACAAGATGAAATTAAAACTTTTTTTTTTTTTTTTTGAGACAGAGTTTCACTCATGTTACCCAGGCTGGAGTGCAATGGTGCGATCTCAGCTCACCGCAACCTCCGCTTCCTGGGTTCAGGCAATTCTCCTGCCTCAGCCTCCTGAGTAGCTGGGATTACAGGCACGCACCACCATGCCCAGCTAATTTTTTGTATTTTTAGTAGAGACGGGGTTTCACCATGTTGACCAGGATGGTCTCGATCTCTTGACCTCGTGATCCACCCGCCTCTGCCTCCCAAAGTGGTGGGATTACAGGCTTGAGCCACCGTGCCCGGCCGAAATTAAAACTTTTAAAGAAATATAATAGCTATTTGCTACCTTATAATACTATCATACTTTTATAATCCTATTAATTTTATTTTTTATACAGTTATTACCTTACACTCTCATTCCAAAAATATTTATTGAATATATAATAGTTATGAATATATATGTAATCATATTTATTCTTGATGAAAAACCCTTTGAAATAGGTATTATTACCACTTTACAGGTGACATAAACAAAATTCAGAAAAGTATGGGTGGAAGATTCCTGCCATAAAATTATTTCCATAATATAATTATTTAAAATTTATATAATTTATCTATAATACTGAGCTCAGATTTTATAGACAGGGACAGATAATCCATATCTAAAACTCAGATATGACCTAAAACCTAAATGAGACCTTAATTTCCTGCCTTACTTTTAAATACAACAGAACGAGTAAAAAAACTAGTCTGTTTAACAACTCTTCCTGCTTTTATTCATCTGCTAGTATAGTTACTAATCCAATAACAGAATACAAAGGCAGAGAAAGAAGAGTACTAGATTTTTTTAAAAAATTAAATGTGTCTTAATCAGAGTAGACAATGTTCTAACAAAACATGTCTTTCATAATTTCAGAGTTTTGATAACCTCAAATAATTGCACAAAAACACTCGCCTCTTTCCAAAAAGTCTTCGTTATATGTGTTATCTATGTATACTTAGCACTCAGAAAGAAGTATATTTTCTAATATGTTTCAGATGTTATTTTCTTTTGCATGAAGGTTTCATCAACAATCCTGAAAATAATAGCCATTCTTTCAATGGCCTCTATTACAAAGGTTACCAGGTTTCTCTTCCCAGAATCTACCTTAATTTGGAAGGCAGACTACGTCCACATTAGCATGCACAATATATCTATGTCTCTATAAGACTTAAAAAAAAAAAAGTTTGACAGCTAAGTGTATTTCCCTGTTTTGTTTAATTGGCTTAAAACTGTAAGAAAAGATTGGCCACTTGGTGTGGTTTACATAGAAGGTTCAATAAGCCAAATATACTTAGGCTAAAGTAAAGATATTTAATATCTTTTTTCTTAGTTCAAAGTACCTGGAGAACCAGGAAGATGCCAACCAATTATTCATTAATTAATTAACCTATTAAGCTAATGTACTATACTAAGCACTGGAGATATAATGGTGAACATATAGACAAAGAACTTTTCCTAACAGAGATTATCAGTCAAGGGAGAAAGTTGAGAAAATTATGTTTATTACACAATTAAATAAAATATGAGGTGTTAAGTGCTATAAAGAGAGAAGCACATAACATAGGAAGGCATCAAACAAAGATCTCTTATGGTCAGGAGTAGCTTCCTAAAAGAAGTTCAACAGAGACCAGACAGAAGAGTGAGAATTAGGTAAGAAAAGGGAATAAAAGGGAAGCGGTTCCAGGGATTGTTCCAAACAAGAGATACTATGCAGAAACGTTTCTAGGCAAAGCACAGGACTTTAAGACCACAACGAGCTTTGGCATGACTTGGAATGAAGAAAGAGTTGAGGCTCGAGAGGAAGAAAAGAATCAATTAAGGCCGGGCGCGGTGGCTCAAGCCTGTAATCCCAGCACTTTGGGAGGCCGAGGCGGGTGGATCACAAGGTCAAGAGATCGAGACCATCCTGGTCAACATGGTGAAACCCCGTCTCTACTAAAACTACAAAAAATTAGCTGGGCATGGTGGCGCGTGCCTGTAATCCCAGCTACTCAGGAGGCTGAGGCAGGAGAATTGCCTGAACCCGGGAGGCGGAGGTTGCGGTGAGCCGAGATCGCGCCATTGCCCGTCAGAAAAAGACAAAAAACCCCCCCTCCCAAAAAAAAAAAAAAAAAAAAAAAAGAATCAATTACACAGGGCTCTATAAATCCGAGACTGGACTCAGACTAGACTAACTAGGAAGGAGTTTTAATCTGAAGAATCATAATAATTTTGCATTTTACAAAGATCACTCACATTAGAAGAAGAAGAATGGATTAGAATGGAACGAGACTCTACAGGAAGACCAATTAAGGAGCTGTTGTGATAACCAAAGAGAAAGTGTACTGTATTAAGGAAGTGAGGATGGATATAGAAGTTTAAGTAGGGTGAATTTGAGAGATTTTTAAGATAGGTCCTATAGAACATGCTGTCTTTCTTTTTTTTCCTCCCCTCATGCATAGTTTCACCTAATAAAGCACATGCTGACTGTCTGGACAAAAAGAACACCACAGAAACTGAAAAAGTGTTTCAAGAAGGATGGTATGACCTACAAAACCAACTACTAATGAAGAATCTAAGGTAAAACAATGAGATGTGTCCTTCACACAAGGAAATCACTAGTAAGTCATTTCAGTGGAGTGACGGGGGTCAAAGATAGGTTTCAATGGCTTAAGGGTAAGTGAAAGATGAACACAACAGAAATATAGAAACAAATAGAAAACAAAATGAAAACAGAAAATAGAATTGTTATTCAAGAAATTTATCTTTGAAGGGAAGAAAGTAGAACATTCATTGCAAAAGTATATAGGATATAAAAAGATGATTTTTTAAATAAGAAAAAATTTAATCATGTTTCAATGCTGATAGGAACATGGCCAGTAGAAAGGTTGATTTTGAAAAATCAGGGAAAAGTAAAGAGTAAGGTCCCAAAAGGGACCCAACTTAAGCAAGGTCCCAAAAGGGACAGGACCCAACTCACTTGCAGGAGGCTCAGCTTAAAGAGAGAGATTCCTTCATTTCTCTGTTTAAAATACTGTTTACATTATCATCAACATTTTGCATTGAAAATTTAGTACTTACAAGATACCATGCCAAGCCCTTTACAACCTCTAGGAGTCCTGTATTACCACCCCCACTTCATAGATTAGGAAACCAAACTTCAAGGAGGTTAACTAACTTTGCCTAAGGTTTCAAGGGTGGATTTGAATCCACCTAAGCCTCTCAAGAACATAATCAATAGGCTATATACTCTCAGGAAGGATGGGGACAGATACAGATAAATTAGGTTTGGTGGCAAGATGTTGGCTGAGGAAGTTCTGCTCTAATATACTGAATGAGGAGATGGCAGCTTAATGAAAGTGAAAAAGATTTTAAGTAGACACAAAGAAAATGCTGGTTAGAGAAACATGGAAGGTACAGGGCAGCTGAGAGGCTCCCAACTATAACTGGAATCCATGCATTTAAAGTTGTAGCAATATGCGGAAGTATGTGATTTTCCTTCAACAAGAGCAAAGTAAGAGCAATGAGAGAAAGAAAGAAAAACTGTTGGCAAGAAAGCTATGCACTTAAGAACAGGTAATCTAAGCCAGATAAGTAAAGAAGCAAGTATAGGTAAGGGGACATACAGAAAAGCTGCAGCTATAACAAAATAAAGAATTTGTGTATTCTTCTACGTATTTATTTCTCAATTATTAGCTGTCCGCCCATTCAGAGTAAACCAACAGCAGCACAGAGTACATATTTGTTGACTGATAAAATTAAAGAATCTATAATCTAAAGCACTGGCTTTGACCAAAGGTAAGTACTCTAGCTCTGAAATACTATACTTGGAACCCTAAATCATAATGCCTGTGACCAATCAGAATTTCATTTATAATTAAGAAAACTAAATAAAACAGATGTAGGCCCAGACCCAACCATTATTTTTACTTGTTATTTTTTGAAATGGAGTCTTGCTCTGTTGCCCAGACTGGAGTGCAATGGCACGATCTTGGCTCACTGCAACCTCCATCTACCGGGTTTAAGCAATTCTCCTGCCTCAGCCCCCCCAGCAGCTGGGATTACAGGAGCGCACCACCACGCACAGCTAATTTTTGTATTTTTAGTGGAGACAGGGTTTCACCATGTTGGTCAGGTTGGTCTTGAACTCCTAATCTCATGATCTGCCCGCCTCAGCCTCCCAAAGTGCTGGGATTACAGGTATGAGTCACCACATGCAGCTACATGATTTATTTATTAGTATGATTAAAAGGGTACTGCCATTTTTTTCACTCTATCTTCAAGGCAGTTTTAAATTAATTTGTCAGACCTATGACTCTGAACTTAAATAAAAATTGCCATGTCTAGCAGTGAAAAGACAGTAACTTCTGAAAACCAGAACATACTTAGTTCTTCAAGAATCTGCCAACTTTTTTTTTTTTTTTAAACAGGGTCTTGCTCTGTTGCCCAGGCTGGAGTCCAGTGGGGTACAATCATGGCTCACTGCAGCCTCGATCTCCTGGGCTCAATCAATCTTCCCATCTCAACCTCCCAAGTAGCTGGGACTACAGGTGCAAGCCACCATGCCCAGGTAATTTTTGTATTTTTTTGTAGAGTCAGGGTCATGCCATGTTGTCCAGACTGGTCTTAAACTCCTGGGCACAAGTGATCCTCCCAACCTTGGACTCCTAAAGTGCTAGGATTACAGGAATGAGCCACCATGCCTGGCCCCAACTATTAATACAATAGAAATCATACCACAAGAAACAATACCTACGTTTTCTTTCCCTCAGTAACTTTCTTCCAACCAAAGTGAAGATTATTATTTCTCTTCCACCTGCAAAAGTAGGGTCATGGGAATCTCTTAAGAATAAAAGAAAAAGCTTTTAAGGCTCAAGTTTCTCAAAGTGGTATACATCACCTGCATGAATATTCCCAAAATGCAAAGTTAAAAATCCAGGTACCTATTTCCTGTGCCAAATCTACTAAAACACTCTCTAAATGCAGATCTACATTTTTAACAGGACAAGGTAATTTTTTTTTTATACTCAAGTTCAAATACATAAGGTAAATTTTATGTAAAGATTATGAGCCACTGATTCAAAGAGCTTTTCCTAAAAAAAAAAAAAAAAAGAAGAAATATTTCAGATCTCAGATCTCATTTCTGACATAATACTCTCACAACATAATTCTTATTTTTGACAACAAAATTAAAATATCAAACAGGCTGGGTAGAGTAGTTCATGTCTGTAATCCTAGCACTTTGGGAGGCTGAGGCATGAGGATAGCTTGATGCCTGGATTTTGAGACTAGCTCAGGCAACATAGTGAGAACCCATCTCTACAAAAAAATTTAAGAATTACTGGGTATGGTGGTGCACACCTGTAGTCCTAGCTACTCAGGAGGCTGAAGTGGGAGGATTGCTTGAGCCCAGGATTCAAAGCTGCAGACTGCTATGTCTGTACTTATGAGTTAGCCACCACACTCTAGCCTAGGCTGGAGATATTGTAGTGAGATGGCATTTTTTTAAAAATTAGTAACAGAGATGCCTGAGGCTTCACAGATTAATTAAATTAGATTCTCTAAGGCAGGACTAGGCATTCATATATTTTTATAACATCCCAAGTGATTCTAATGTACAGCTAGATTTGAAAACCACTACACTGTATCATTCTTAAAAAGAAATAGGCCGGGCGCGGTGGCTCACGCCTGTAATCCCAGCACTTTGGGAGGCCGAGGCGGGTGGATCACGAGGTCAAGAGATCAAGACCATCCTGGTCAACATGGTGAAACCCCGTCTCTACTAAAAATACAAAAAATTAGCTGGGCATGGTGGCGCGTGCCTGTAATCCCAGCTACTCAGGAGGCTGAGGCAGGAGAATTGCCTGAACCCAGGAGGCGGAGGTTGCGGTGAGCCGAGATCGTGCCATTGCACTCCAGCCTGGGTAACAAGAGCGAAAATCCGTCTCCAAAAAAAAAAAAAAAAAAGAAATAGATTCATTAGAAATTACTAATAATAGAAAACAAACTGCTATTCACAGGTTAAATGAAGGAATGAAATAACTCTAAACATTATGGTACAAAGATAAAGTATAACTGCAATACAATTTTTTAAAAGTACTTGCAGGCTAGATTTCTAAAATCTTCGTAAATCAAGAAAGCAAGAATTATCAGTGTCACCTACTAGAAGTAATATTTCTAGTAAACTGTGTGAAAACAGGCAACTTAAGCATCCCCTAGATTCTAAACACATTCCCTAGATCAATAACCTTGTTGGGAGTCTGTTTACTTTTGAATATAAATATGTTTAAATTAAGGCTTAACACACCTCAAAATATTTTAATAAGCATTTGATAGTATCAGTTTACACTTAACCATGTTCTTTTTTTCTTTTTTCTCTGCCACTGTAGTGCAAAATACATTTAGCCCATTCCAAAGTTTCCTATGTTGTATCTGATAAAGTTTTCTAAAAGAATGCTTATCATTGTTTATAGGCCAGCTCCATTATCCATTTATACACATACCCCCCCAAACACAACACAATTTTTTTTAACTGCAAAGTGTAGGAGAAAATTTTTCACTTAGAAGATTCTGACTGAAAAAAAACCTAAAGAGGAGCAGAGCAAAATAGCCAAACATAAGGCTCCACCAAGGGGCCCCCAAAAGGAACACTAAATCTACCATCCACCCAACCCCCCCCAAAAAAAAGCACTTTCATGAGACCCAAAAAGCAGGTGAATGTTCACAGTACCTGGTTTTAACTTCATGTGGCTGAAAGAGGCATTGAAGAAGGTAGAAAAGACAGTCTTGAATTCCAGATGCCACCCCTTCTCCATCCCCCAGCAGTGACCACGAGGCATGGAGAGAATAATCTATGCTTAATGAAAAGGAGAGGGCACTCATGAGACTACATCAGATTCAGTGCTGTCCTGTCACAGCAGAAAGCAAAACCAGGCAGCGAACACTCGCTCACACCAGATCTAGCCAGAGGGCGATCGTTCAGTTCCAGCAACCCTGGCCACTTGGGCTAAAGCGCTCTGGAGCATTAAATAAACTTGAAAGGCAGCCTAGGCCACAACTGCCTAGGCAATCCTAGTGGTCAGCTGGGCTTGAAGCCAGTAGACATGGGGGCATGTGACCCACTGAGACACTAGCAAGAGCAGTTAAGGGAGTGATTGTGCCACCCTTGTCCTAACCCCAGGCAACACAGCTTGTGACCCCTTTCTTCCACTGAGGAAAGGAGAGAGAAGAGTAATGAGGACTCTATTTTGCATCTTGGATATAAGCTCAGCCATAGTAGGATAGGGAACCAGACAGGGTCACGAGGCCCCCATTCCAGACCACAGCTCTCGAACAATATCCCACCCCACTGCCTTGAAGGGAAGGAACCAGTCCTGGTAGCATCCATCAAATGCTGACTGAAGAGCCCGTGGGCCTGGAATAACCAGCAGTGACACTCAGGTAATACACCATGGGCCTTGGGTGAGACTCTGAAATGTGCTGGCTTCAGGTGAGACCCAGAACATTCCCAGCTATGATGGCTATGGTGAGAAACTCCTTCTCCTTAAGAAAAGCAGAGGAAAAAGCAAAGGGGACTTTGTCTTGTACGTTAAGTACCAAGTCAGTCACAGTGGGATAGAGCACCAAGCGTGCTCTTGGGGTCCCCAGTTCCAGGCCTTAGCTCTTAGATGACATTTATGGACTTGCCCTGAGCCAGAAGGGAGCCCACTACCCTGAAATGTTACTCCCCAACCTGGCAGCATTGACTACAAGTTGACTGAAGAGCCCTTGGGCCTTCACTGAAAATTGGTGGTAGCCTGACAGTACTCCCCATGGGCCTGTGGAGATGGTGGCCATGGTGTGAGGCTCCTCTGCCTATGGAGTGCAGGGAAAGGTGGGAAGCATCATGTCTCGTGGTTTGAGTGCTAGCTCAGAGAACAGAAAACCAGGTAGATTTCTAAAGTTTTTTACTCCAGTACCTGGCTCCTGGATGGCATCTCTAGACCTGCCCAGGGCCTCAGGGAACTCTCCATCCTGAAGGGAAGGACACAAGCCTAGCTGGGGTTGCTACATGATTATAAAGCCCTAGGTCCTTAAGCAAACATAGGCTGTATGTTTGCTTAAGTAGTGGATATAGCAGGCCTTGGGTGAGACCCAGTGCTGTGTTGCCTTCAAGTTTAACCAAGCCCAGTCCCAGTGGTGGTGGCCACAGGGGTGCTTGTCATTCCACGCCCAGCCCCAAGCAGATCAGCACAGAAAAAGAGACTCCATTTGAGAGAAAAGTAAAAGAAGAGAAAAAGAATCTCTGCCTGGTAATCCAGAGAATTCTTTCGGATGTTATCCAAGAACACCAAGATAGTATGTCTGTAAGAACTGCAATGTTACTGGGGTTGGAGTGCCCCCTAATACAGATATAGCTTAGATCACAACACTAAAGTCCTTTCAAATACCTGTAGAGCCTTCCCAAGGACAGGTACAAATAAGCCCAGACTGAGAAGATGGCAATAAATACCTAATTCCTTAATGTTTAGACACTAATGAACATCTACTACAAGCAACAAGACTATACAGGAAAACACAACCTCACCAAATGAACTACATAAGGCAACAGGGACCTAACCTGGAGAAACAGAGATATGTGACCTTTCAGACAGAGAATTCAAAATAGCTGTGTATGAGTCTGTTCTCACACTACTAATAAAGACATACTGGAGACTGGGTAATTTAGAAAGGAAAGAGGTATAATTGACTCACAATTCCACATGGCTGGGGAGGCCTCACAATCATGGCTGAAGGCAAATGAGGAGCAAAGCCACGTCTTACATGGGGGCATGCAAGAGGACTTGTGCAGGGGAAAGCCCATTTATAAAACCATCAGCTCTTGTGAGACTTATTCACTACCATGAGAACAGTATCAGGGAAACTGTTCCCATGATTCAATTATCTCCACCTGGCCCTGCCCTTGACACATGGGGATTATTACAATTCAAGATGAGACTTGGGTAGGGATACAGCCAAACTATATCAAGCTGTTTTGAGAAAACTCAAAGAAATTCAAGTTAACACTAAGAAGGAATTCAAAGTTCTATCAGATAAATTTAACAAAGAGATTGAAATAAAAATCAAGTAGAAATTCAGCAGCTGAAAAATGCAATTGATATACTGAAGAATGCATCAGTCTGTTAACAGAAAAATAGAAGAAAGAATTAGTGAGCTTTAAGACAAGCTATTTGAAAATACACAGAGGCAGCCAGGGGCAGTGGCTCATACCTGTAATCCCAGCACTTTGGAAGGCCGAGGCGGGCAGATCATGAGGTCAAGACTCTGAGACCAGCCTGGCCAACATGGTGAAACCCCATCTCTACTAAAAAACACAAAAATTATCTGGGCATGATGGCATGTGCCTGTAGTCCCAACAACTTGGGAAGCTGGGCAGGAGAACTGCTTGAACTCAGGAGGCAGAGGTTGAAGTGGGCCAAGAATGTGCCACTGCACTCCAGTCTGGGCAACAGAACAAGACTCTGTCAAAAAAAAAAAAAAAAGAAAAGAAAAGAAAAAGAAAGTATACAGAGGAAACAACAACAACAAAATAATACAAAACAATGAATCATGACTACAGGATCTAAAAAATACCCTCACAAGGACAAATCTAAGAGTTACTAACCTTAAAGAGGAGGCAGAGAAAGAGACAGGGGTAGAAAGTTTATTCAAAGGGATAAGAACAAAGAACTTCCCAAACCTAGAGAAAGGTATCCAAGTACAAGAAGATTCTAGAAAACCAAGGAGATTTAGCCCAAGGAAAACTACCTCAAGTTATTTAATAAACTCCCAAAGGTC